GAGAGAGAGAGAGAGACAGAGAGAGAGAGAGAGAGAGAGAGAGAGAGAGAGAGAGAGAGAGAGGAGATACTGCTCATTGCCTTAATGACCTTAATACTGTGTCGATGGTGACACTGACACGTCTATAACAAATTACCTTGCTTTACTAGTATTATGGGAATCTTCGAAAATATATCCCTGTTAAGTACATTGCATTATCACAAAAATATATTTATGAGTCATTTACAAGTTATTACTTTTTAGTACAATTATAATTCAAACCTTCAAATATCTAACCATACTAAGTACATTAAATGCAAAAAACCCCAACAACCCAAGGGAGGGGTGGGGGGTTGTAGGACAGAAATGATAGCTTGTACAGGTGATTGCCAGAACAGGTGACAGTTAGAGCAGGTGTATACTATGTACTACCTATTAGGTGTTTCTTGCTTCATGAAAGCAGGTCTAAATTGTATATTACCTGTACGGCATTTCTTACTTCATGAAAGCAGGTCTAAATTGTATATTACCTGTACGGCATTTCTTACTTCATGAAAGAAGGTCTAAATTGTATATTACCTGTAAGCTATTTCTTGCTTCATGAAAGCAGTTTCAAAATATATTATATCACCTGTAAGGTATTTCTGGCTTCATGAAAGCAGGTCGAAATTATATTAAATTACCTGTAAGGTATTTCTTGCTTCGTGAAATTGTCCTTGACATCCAACAGGGTTTCCTCGTAAGTCTTCCCAGTCTCCGTGTGGTAGTAGTAGTACGCACCTGCACGATAGGTAATATTCATGTGACCCTAGAGCATGCATCAAGAATAACATTGAGTACGTATCTAGCTTAACATTATTGTTGTTTATATTGCTGTTCATTTATATTATGCTTGTGACAGTAAGCTTGCGTGTCGTGTGTGCATATTTGTGTGTGTGTGTGTGTGTGTGTGTGTGTGTGTGTGTGTGTGTGTGTGTGTGTGTGTGTGTGTGTGTGTGCATGTGTTTACGTGGTGAAACACCAAAAACCAATGAGCCAGGATAAGAGTAACATGGATGGACAACAGAAAAACATGGACTGGCCTGGATATAGAATGAGCATCGAGCGGCAGCTCGCGACGTTGAGGGATTGAGGGTCATTACACGTCAACCTCTGAGTCAGAGATGACACCTCCAGGTATTCAGGTATAATACGATAATTTCTTATAAAAAGTGCCAATGTCCCATTTGTAAACGCTCAAGTAAAAAAACACTCTAGCGTCAGAAAAATCAGTGCGAGTAAAGAAAACGATAGTAATGACAACTGTGACATTCCCACCATCCTCAATCCCCCCCCTCCCCCCGAACAAAAACCTACACCAAATAAAAAAAGTAAATTCTCTTCTAACAGGTTAAAAAACAACGAACAACAACGGTCCTAAACCCCCAAACTATATAAAAAAACAACAACAAACAAACAACCCCCCCCCTCCACAAAAAACAAAAACAAAATGAGAGAAATGGCATATACCAGAACGTAAAACCAAAGGATATAATTTGTTTGACATAGTCGTGAAATTAAATTTTTAAAAACCTTGAAAAAAATCCCAAAAAATCGTGAAAAAAACGCCAAAAAAAAAAGAACGTTTACCATTGTCCGTCCAGTATCCCAGATGTGTCAGAGACAGATCCTGCGACTGATGGTACTGTGTGACGTCATCTGTCTTCTTGTGCACCAGCCTCATAATCTTGCCCCATTCCGCCACTGCCTTTTGGAAGTTATTAATATGTATAATGTTATGAAGGGTGCAAAGGGGAAACCAGAAATGTCATGTTTTGTAGCTTTCGAGAAAAAACCAAACCAAAATCTAACTCTAAAAAGGGAAAGAATGCTTCTGGTCATTCCTGCGTGCACAATTGTTGTTTACCTTTAAAAATATATGAAGTATGTTAAGTTACTGATCGTTTAAAACAACTATTTCGGTTTTAAAATGCTGACGTGGTTTTGTATTTCATGTTTATATATAAGTATAATTTAATATATTATAAAAATATAATATTATATATGTATATATTTATATTAATTATATAGTA